ATGGGCATGATTGAAAAGTCTTCTCAAGTGCACAACGCAAAGGAAAAGTCGAGGATATTGTGAAGTGTTAAAGTGTCGAGTGCTTAGTGAGGTCAGTGGCACCCTGAACGGGATCTAGTCAAGTAACATCCCGGAGCAGGGATCTTGAGAGCGCTCCCAAGCAGTCTAATCGACCGCTAGGGAGGGTGATCGGCTAGGGTTTGAAAGCCCACAACGAGTAGCGGAAGAAGGCTGTGATGGCAAGGAGGGAGAGTTGAGAATCAGCAGGGAGGCGCAGGACTGCACAGTGAGCTTTCTTCAACTGCACCTGTTATGAGTTAGCGAACTTGTGAACAATGACCAGGTGATACAGGACAGGCAGGAAAATCAGCCCATGCCATAGCACGGACCAGAGTAAATGCGGAGAGCTGGAGTAATCCAGACGACGCTCAAAAGTAGACTCGGAGAGTGGAACTGCTGGGCAATAATCGAGGAAACGGAAACGGTGGTAAATCCAAAACTCAAGGCAACGCAACAAGGCATACGAAGGCGACAGGCGGAAGGGCAGGCGAAGGTGCGAGGAAGGAGCGGGCTCTAGTGGGAAGATGCAGACGAAGTGAAGAGGGCGAAGGCGGACGCAAGCAGCAGGGGGAGATATTAGAAGGTCGCCAAATCAAAGCCGCGTCCAGATTGAAGTCCTGAAAAACACAATCAACCATATCCATCGACGCAGTAGGTGCGAAGGGAACGTTGCCTATAACTGCAGCATTTGGGAGGAGAGCAGGTGAAGGCGGATGCAAGCAGCAGAGGAAGATGGATGAGGGAACAGACGAGGGTGGAAGGTCGCCAAATTGAAGCCGATCCAACGTAAGTCCTGTAAAACACAACCAGCCATATGAAGATGTATGCGAAGGGAAGGTTGCCAACCTGGACACATGTACGCTTATGCTACGAAAGGTTCTTCATGATCTGAACCCAATGTCCTGCAGCTGCTGAAACAAGAGCAGTCGAATCCGTGGGAGTACAAGACGTGTGCGACGATAAGAAGGATACTGAAAGGCAGTCAAACCATGAAGAAGTCCCCTTCATTTTCATTTTTACGAATTCTGAAATCCCCGTGACCTGCAGCTGCTGAAGCAAAACCAGTCGAATTCGTGGGAGTATAAATGGGTGCGACGGGATTGCGACGGAATGCAAGAGTCCGACCTGGTGTGTCCCTCCCAGAATAGCCGTGACTTGTAGACGCTGAAACGCACAGCCAGTCGAATAACATGCGACAAGAAGCCAGTCAATCTGAATAATGTGACAGTCCAACCTGGTGCAGTTCCCTGAATCCCCGTGACTTGTAGACGCTGAAACACAGCCAGTGGAATATGAGGGGCCACAGGGTGCATGCGACAAAAAGGCAGTAAACCTGGTTTCATTCCGTGAGTCTCCAAAATCCCCGAAAGTGCAACTGCTGGAAGCACCAGTGGATGCTAGAGAATCAGACACACACGTGCGAAGGGAAAGGGTGAACCTGACGATGCTAAACCAGTGAAAGCGTCTAACATCCCCCGTCGCCTGCAGCTGCTGAAACACCAGGCGCAAACGGTGCAGACTGAAGGGTACACGCACAACCTGATAGATCGTAATTGAGACACCCAACTCGCAATCAATTTACTTCTTACTGTCTTTGGGAATCTTTTGCTTCAATGAGCTTCTAGAGCCTGTTTAGCTGTTATAGACATGAGACAAAGCACAAGTTTAGGGTGTTCAACTGCCGCGAACTTCAAGAATTGGCTTGCCTTTTAGGACCTGCTTAGTTGTAGCAGACGAAGAGAGTACAAAATCATAATATCGACTTTCCACTTCGAAGAATACAACAAGACAAAGCCACGTTGAACCTGTCATACACAGTAAGGCCATGAACAGAAATACACATACCAACAGGATAACACAGCATCGAAGAGGATGGAAAGACGAATAACCACAATCGTCATGAAACCGTCGAGCCCAACGCGAAGTTCTTCGTAGGCGAATGACGCAATCCCAAACTCCGCGCTGGACCGAAGTCGACGACACACTCGCGCCGGAAGGAAGACTCTCCTGGTACACGGGTCTCGCCTTAGAAGTTCCATGACGTCGAGTTATGAAATAACAGCAACATGCTCCCCTCCAAACTCGAACAAAAACGTTTGCTAACCACGCGTGGCGACAAATCCAGCTCGCGCGGAAGGCCCGTCTCCCGATGTTGTAGCTGAACACACACGAGCAGCTCCTGACGTTCTCGGCCTCGAAGCTCCTTAAATTGACGTCGCGACGGACCTCGCACGTTAACCCTCAGATAATCGTCAGCACCCACAGCTTAGCAGTAACAATCGTCAGGAACAGCGGCCCAAGTTGCACCGACCGAAGAAACAGAAGCCGGAGTGAGGATGTGTTACAGCTTCAACAATATTGAAGCCGGAAGCACCACCATCAGAGTAGATGAATAGCAGCAGAAGTACCTCTACCGTCCAGCAACCACCTGGAGGCCGAAACAGCTTCAATCATCGTGGTCCAAGAGAAGACATGGCCGGGGCAGAGATCGAAAATCCGAAAGAACCTCCTCATCCGAACGGTAGAAGAATAGGTAGAGACGGACGAGGAGAGAGAAGACATTTCAAAGAGTCCATTGAAACAGCACGGACACCTGAGGAGGATTCTAGTAAAAAATCTAGCTTACAGCACAGACGAGCCATGGGTCCAGGAAGTTGTCGCTTGAAGCTCTGACGAGGTTGTCAATCCATGGGGGCACTCCCATTCCTGAAAGTGAACACAATTGAGGTTCTGTGGAGTGAAATACACCACAGTAGTGCTGGTTGGAACTTGGGGTTGGAGAAGGGGTAAGTGGAGGTGGAAGGAACCCCTGCGACAGCGACGTTTGCTTGGCGACGCGGACGACTGAAACCAAACTTCTAGGGTGCCTGTGGGCCATTCCCGCCTTATCGCGTGTGTGCGTCGCCAGCAAACCAGTTTCCCCTGAAATCACGCGGACCGCTCTCCAGCATGCAATGCGATGCTCTGGTGGCATCGCGCGTGATTGCTCGTTCGTGCGGGTTCGCGAAAACGTCGGTCCCCACTGCCACACTGCACCCACCAACCTCGCAGGTCTGATCAAGGGTGTGGTTTGGTGGTGCCAGCCTGTCAGGGTTTCGTGAACAACCGTGAAGGCCACGCGATGTACCTGACGTGATGCTTGAGGCATACATGAAACAGTGGAAATTGTGGCGAAAGTCGCACAGCGACCGCATCACATCACATCATGCTGTACAAACCATGCACGGACGGCGGTGATGGCTTGGGGAATGTCTCTAGACGGATGAAACGGGGTTCTGTAGCTCAGGTTCGCTGTGGGTGAGGATTCCAAGGCTGGTGAAAGCGGTGGTTTGACTGGAGCGTTTTCGTCGGCCCAGCTCCGCAAAGTTCACCACACCACAACTTGTCAACATTACGTCACTACAGAACGTCTCGGTATGGTTAAGCGCGCCTACACTCTCACTTCCATTTCCACTTTTGTAAAAGCATGTGCGCGACCTTTGGCCTTCTTTCGGTTTCTTGGGCTGGCTACATCTTGTTGGTGGTTTGCGCGATGCAAATACTTTCAGTACGGTACAATCTCTTTTGCCTCTAGTGAGGGTGCGACGCGGGGGAGAGTCCCACCCAATCGCATATCACCATGTTACCTTCCGGAAAAGGCAGGCCTTCGTTATACAGCTTGTGCTCCATTGTCACGGTGCAGAAAGAAACCATTCGGGTCGCGTGACCGACATATTCGCCAGAAGAACCCAACCAGTTCTGTCATCCTGTTCGTCCACCAGAGTGTACGACTTGGCCCTGGGGCGACTCTCTGCGACGAACCACTCGCAGTTCTGTTCTGACTGACGGTCAGGGCGATTGATGGGTCAAGCCGCACAGCCCGGCCAGTTTCTCTGACCAACCAATCACTAGCATCCGCTTCCGCAGCATCTGCGCTCCGGAAACCAAACCTACTCCTGAACTGAACCACTGCACAAGTTTTGCTGAAGAATTCGCCCTCACAGCGTACAGAGCAGGCCTACCTCCCACCAACAGAGGCGCTTTGAATTCAGTTGCACCTATCTCTACAAGGCAACGAGACGATTTGTGGATATTGTAGTGCAACATGCACAAGGATGAGGGAAGTCGCCACTTTCCTGTCTAGCAGTGCTTGATAGCAATACAAGAGCTTGTGGTTTTCGTTTGAAGAGCAAAGAAAGCGTTTTTCATGACTTCCGAGTTTCACCGAGAGCCCAGATCTAGAAACGCAACAGCCACGCATACCCTTGACACCTGAAACAGTGCAGCACACACAAGCTAACCGGAAAGATTCCGTGGCAAAGCTATGCTGTAAGGAGATTGTTTGTGCTTAGAATGTGAAGGTTACGAAGGTCCTTCTGTCTCTCGAAAGCACAGCATCCAACAACCTTTCCTACTAGAAAACCTCTCCGCCTAGGCTAGTAGCCTCCCTCCGTCTTCTACAAAGAATGGCGACTTTGCCGTCGCAGCGCCTCGGCAGGTGGGGTTCGTCGCATCGAGTCGAGTCCGACGCGGACATGGGGAGTCTAGATCAACTCTTAGAATCCCTAAAAAAGGAGCCTTCTAATTCCCGTCGATATACCACGTTTGCCATCTCACCTATCGCCACAGTATTCCGCGCGTCGTGGCTTCTAATTTCCGTCTTGCTCCTAGCCATAGCAGGCGTGTCGTTATTTATCACGCTCCAACCGAAAGGCTTCACAGTATGGCATTTGACGATCAAATCCCCGTCATCCCAAGGACGTGTGCTTCGCATCCACGTGTCAAGCTCCGGAGGAGATCAGTTTGAGCTTGAAGAATCAACTCCCGAGACGAAATCCGGACCGTCGGTTTCTCCTCAGATTCCTACAAGGCGTGCAGAGCTCGATGAGGGGGGTGGCGGTATCAGAGAAACGCGCCCCGTCGAAGCCGCTGAAAGGGATGTGACTCAAGCGGTGGTGGCTATGAGGGAGGGGTTGGGCCGTAGAGGAGGGAATAAAGTCGCCTTGACCGCATCCGATGTTTCTGCTGACGCCGCGGAAACACGCAGCGATATAGTCACACCCGATTCCAATGAACCCTCGATAGAGTCACATCGAAGCAACGATGAACTCAAAAACTCGCAGTCTGCGGCTCCCGATAATAACGGGAGGACGGGCGGGGGGGCGACGAGCGTGAGTTCAGGAAACAGCGGTGGTGGTGACCCGTCAGCGGGGGACACGTCAGCAGCCGGGGAGACAGCGCCCGATGCGGATAGGGAGCTTTCAGCCGTCGCTGCAGCGGTGACAGGCAAAGGCGCTTCGGACGTAGCAGCAGCAGGCAAAGAGGCGAAGGACGCGGGAGGAAACGAGTCGAGTAGCACTGAGACAGCAGCGAGTGCTAGTAGCAGTACTAGTGCTGCTACTAACGAGGATAAAGGCATCCACGTGTTCGTATCAACGGACGAGACGGACCTCCGGCCGATCGCGGTGGTGATCAACTCGACGCTTGTGAACGCGCGCGAGCCGTGGCGCGTGGATTTCCACCTGGTGGTCCCGGAGAAAAACGTCGCTGCGATGCGGAAGAAACTTCTCCCGCTCTTCCCGTCCACGCGGATCGAGATAGTGAGGTGAGCCCCTTCCGTCTGGTTCCATCTGCTGGATTATCACCTGGTGGATTTCCACCTGGTTGATTATCACCTGGTGGATTTCCACCTGGTTGATTATCACCTGCTGGATTTCCACCTGGTGGTCCCAGAGAGTAATGTTGCCGCCATGTGGAAGAAGCTTCTCCCGCTCTTCCCGTCCACGCGGATTGAGATTTTGAGGTCAGTGTAATGACGGGACGCGCCGTCCGCGATTGCCGCATTCTTCTGAACCCAGCCTTCCCGTCCACGCGCTTTGAGATTGTGAGGTGAGCCCCTTCCCGTCGTTCTTCATCGCGGCATTCTCCTCTCCCCTATCCCTTACTACCCACCTCCCACCTGTCTCTCACCCATCTCCCACCTGTCCCTCAACCACCTCCCCCCTATCCCTCACCCCGTCTCCCACTTGTCTCTTCCCCGTCCCCATCTGTTTCTGCTCCCCCCTGCAGCATCAGCCCCTCGCTTGCCAACGGCGCTACTGCTGCCACTGCTGCTGCACCTGCTGCTGCTACAGCCGCCGCTGGAGCAGGAGCAGAAGGAGCAGCAGGAGCAGCAGCGGCAGCAGGGGGAGCGGGAGGGGCGATGGGGATGGGGTGGTGGGAGAAGCTCGGCGCGCTTATCACGTACAAGGAGGGCAGCGGCGCGCGCAAGGAGCTGGTCTCCATCTTCAACTTCCTGCCGTTCTACCTCCCCCAGATGGCGCCGCAATTCCGCCGGATCGTGTATCTGGACGTGGATGTGGTTGTGGTGGTGAGTGAGAAGGGGGGAGAGGGGGAAGGGGGGGAAGGGGGGAAGGGGGGGAGGGGCGGAAGTTAGAGGGGATGTGAGAGAGAGTTGGGTTTCTACCTCCCCCAAATGGCGCCGCAATTCTGCTGAATCGTGTATCTAGACGCTGATGTCGTTGTGGTGGTGAGTGGCAGAGAGGAACAGTGGTTGGGGTGGGTGGAGAGAGGGAGGAGGGTATGAGGCTGTATGAGGATGTGGGGGTGTGTGGAAAACGGGGTGGGTGTTGAGGGGGGAGAAAGACGGTGGAGGCACCAATGCATCTCCAGTTTCCAGGAGCGTCCAGTTTCCAGGAGCGGCTTTCGCGTGGCGCCTTGTACCTTGCGACCTTGAAGACACTTGTTTGCGTGTATTTCACAATTGTTTCACTTTTCTTCCAACCAGGGCGGCATCAGAGAGCTGGCTGACTCAAACATTGGAGGGATTTTTTTGTGTCGATTCAACAATTGTGTATTATTCACGCTTTCGTTTCGCCTTCATTCCAACCAGGGAGACATCGGAGAGCTGGCTGACGTGGACATGGAGGCGCGGCCTTTTGAATCGACTTAAAATATGAGTTTGTGCCTTTTTATTTCTGTTTCGCCTTCATTCCAACCAGGGGGACATTGGAGAGGTGGCTGACGTGGACATGGAGGGGCTTTCTGGGTCGACTCAAAAATTGTGAGTTTTTTTTTCCTTACCTTTCGCCCTCATTCCCAACAGGGGGACATCGGAGAGCTGGCTGACGTGGATATGGAGGGGCGGCCAGTGGCAGCAGTGCAGGACTGCATGCAGACCTTCAAGACCTACTTTGACTTCGACCAGCTGGCAGCGATTCAGGTGAATACTCGGGTGAATGTCCAGGTGAAAGTTCACGTGGGTGGCAGCAGTGCAGGACTGCATGCAGACCTTCAAGACCTTGAATTCGACCAGCTGGCAGCGATTCAGGTTAATGATCAGGTGGATGTTCAGGTAGGTGGCAGCAGTGGAGGACCTTCAAGGACTACTTTGGCAGTATTGGGATTATTGCACACCTCCCAGTAATCTCTCATCCTCGGCCTATGGTCCTCCACAATCCTGATCAGATTCTCTTTTGCCTGTGCTTTTGTTAAACCGCAGGCAAGAAACGACCCCTCCAAGCCATGGATGCCCTCAGGACCTTTCGACAGGACCACATGCGTCTTCAACCGTGGAGTGCTGTTCATGGACGTGCAACGCTGGTTACAAAGTAACATCCTCTCTTTCACCTGCGCCACTCTTTCCCCCCTCCAACAGGCTCGGAACGACCCCTCCAAGCCGTGGATGCCCTCGGGGCCTTTCGACAGGACCACATGCGTTTTCAACCGTGGAGTCTTGCTCATGGATGTGCAACGCTGGTTACAAAGTAACGTTTCCGGTGCGATAGAGTGGTGGATGGCCGAATTTAGCCGCGCACCCAATCCCCTTTATAAGTTCGGCATGTCGCAGCCGCCGTTTCTGCTGACGATTTACGACCGGTATAAGAAGCTGGACCGGATCTGGAACACCCGAGGCTTGGGAAGGGACAGGTTCGGCGAGAAGGAACGGGATTACCTAGCCACGATTGGGCTCGGGCGGCCCCCGAAGCGGCCGTTTGTCAGTTTCTGGGCGGATTCAGCCAATATTTTACATTTCAACGGGAAATTTAAACCGTGGAGAGGGAAGAGGGAGAGGAGGGAAGGAGAGGAGGTGAAGTCAGTGTGTGGGGAGAAGAGGTTCGACTGTGCGAGGCTGTGGTGGCAGTACCTGTCTCCCGAAGCTGAGGCAGAGCTTCGGAGGAAAGGCAAGGGAAAGAAAGTAAGCGTTGCGACAAGTGCTGTGCAGGTTGCATAGATACAGACAGCACAAGGTGCCTTATGGTTAGGTGTGTCGGTAATAGTGAATATTCCCAAGTGAGGCTTCTAGCTAGTGATCCTAGAGGGTGGGGGTCCGTGACGTGAGCTAGTAATTCGGAAGGTGTGTAGCTGCGCGGTGTTGGGTGGGGTGTGCCAACTGTAGAGATAAGTGCTTGGTTAAGGTACTTATCTCTCTGCTTTCAGAGGCTGAAGCTAACATAACGAGCATGCTGATCCTCTCAGTTTATGAAACGCAGGGTAGGTTTTATTACTGGTCTCTCACGTATACTAAACCATTTTGGGGGGCGTTTTCCACACTGATGTCTGTTTTTGGCAATATAGAGGAACACAAGTCAGTTTCTTGGGATTTGCTGTTTGCCTCGTTCTAGGTGCACCATGTCGGGTCAGCTCACTTCACCATTCACCACCAGCTCACAGTGTGAGCCTCACACCACCTGCCACTATGGCTGGCTAATCCCGGCGGTTTTATCTTTTTACTGTCTGTCCAGAAGGTTTAAAACCTGGGCACCATGGAGGTGAGATGCAGCACGTCTCTACAGGACAGACCCTCCCCTCAATATCTCTGGAGAATGAGCAGAACGGTGAAGTGCCTCTTTGAGCAGAACGGTGAAGTGCCTCTTTGAGCACACCAAGGTTATGAAACGGGCTGGGTTGGAAGGTTCTAGCATTGTCAGACTAGTTTGGATTTTAGCAACCTTAGCAGTACATCCACTCTATGCCAGGAGTCTCATGACGGTATGACAGTCAACCAATCTTTGCCAAGAGAGTGACTCTTAGTATACGGTATGTACATGTTAGTGTTGCCGTTCCATGCACTCCCACCCTTCAGCCATACCTCTAGCCATTATTCTATCAGACATCCCTGGCGTTCTCTCTCAACCAGCAGTCATCCACTTCCATGATAAGCCGCATGTCCATCTGCTCCAGCTCCTCTGCTGACATGGCAGTCACAGCAGCGTCCACCTCAGCATCAAAATTTGCCTCGTCAGCTGCATGCTTTTCTGCGTCAGCTGTGGGAGCAGGGGCAACAACAGCAGTCACAGGAACGGCAGGTTGTAGCCTCTCTATGAGGCCTTGAAGAACGTAGTGTAGCTCCTGGTCGGTGCGTGAACCATGAGTAAACGACTGCTTCGATATATCCAACTTTGTATGGCGTACGTGGTGTAGCGGATTTCTTTCGGCAAGCCGTGGGGGAGCTGATCTCCACCGTCGATTTTCCCTGGAGACCTGACCTTCTGGGGGTGGGAACACTGGTTTCCGTTCAGCGCGTCTCCCTGTATCGCATTTTACGCCTTGATCTTCAGCATCATCAGCACCATTGTGATAGTATCTCGTATCCCTTCCGCTATTCTCGTTACTCGCGATCCGCAGTTCGCTACAAGCAGTGTCAGAGAAACACCCGTCTTGAACGTCATTGCTGCTGCAGACACTGTCCCTCTGCCGTTTCTGGCTCGAAACTCGATTTTCTTGGTTCAAATCAAATCTGCCGCCGTCGCTAAGATTTTCATCGTCCAAAGGCTTTGCCGCTTCGTCCCACGCCTTGTCCAGATCCACGCAGACGTCCAGATCTTCATCGGACGGTTCCCATCCCATACCAGATTCCCCGCCGCGGCAGCAGGGACGTTCCGCTCCGGGAAGGAGCCCTTCCGGCCGAGTCGGCGGCGGCGCCGCCATGGCGGCCGCGGCGGTATCGATTCTTGAAGAAAGACCGTTTGCGTTTGCGTCACCCGTCATGCCGCGACGACGGATGACCGCGACTCGGAGTCCGAAGCTTCCAGTTTTCTGATCAGCGAACTTCGCGGATTCGTCGCAGATTTCAAGGCTCGGAAAAGTCGAAAAGCCAGGCAGAGCCGCAGAAAATCGTGAATTGAGGTGTCCTATTAGCGATTCGGTGCCGGGATCAATCGTAGTCCTCGCTGCCGCTGCCGCTGCAGCCACTCGGAGGGCCTCCGAGAGTTGCGGCGACGGGTGAGACGCAAGACTGCTGTCTCCCAGGTGGTATGCGTTGCTTCCGACGCCATGCGCGTCATAGTTGCAATCTAGAAAAGCGGGGTCCATGCCAGTTTACTAGGTCACGCGTATCCCTAAGTAGGGTCTCGGACGGAGATGTGACGGTGAGAAGACACGCGAACTCCAAGAAACATGTAAACGATTTGGTTCTGGAGAACCCTGGGAGATACAAAATGATTGTGATAGCGCTCGTGCGTGCACCGACGAGGTTGATATCTCACCGAGTCACCGCTGAGTCGGCTTGCATTGCGTTGCGTTGCGAGGGAGTGATGGAGGAACAAGAGGCAACGAATGTGAGGACAAAGGAAGCCTGAGGTGCAAGAAGACGAACACGGTTCAAAATGATGGCAGAACGGCTTTATGCGGTGCGCTGTGGTTCGATTTCAAGCATTTCCTCAAGTTTGCCCTATACCCACCATCGAAGTTCAGACATAGCACGCAATTCCCGCCCCGCGTATTTACAGTTATTTGAATTGACATATTGGGACGGTTTGGACATTGCATTTTCATGCGTTCCCGTCCCGCACATTGTTTGCAAGATTGGAAAGGGCTTCGAAGTGTGTCAACCTCGAAGAACCACGAACAAGTTCCGTGTTGGGTTTGGGCTGTCAATCCGATAAATACCCCTGAAATTGTTTGACGAAAACGTATCGAAGGGTCATTAATGGGCAAACTACAAAACAAAACAACAAAATCCAAGGACCTGGAAAATCCCATTCAAGGCACAAGACAATGGATGACAAATCACTCGAGTGCACAAGTCTGCCAGTGAAGCTGCTGCTATCCAGAATTTAGGCGGGAAGGCGACTAAATGGCTTACTGTTAGGACCATCGAAGGAGTCGCCATGGAGAGGCCTCCGCCCAACCACCTCCGTACCAGCGGCTGAAAGCACTCCATGGGACGTTGTTGTCGTCAATCGGGCAGAGATACTTTCCACGAATGTGTATGATTCTGGATGAAGGCCTACGCACATTATTACTGTAAAGAAAGAACAAATAGAACAGCGTAGGTCAAAACACGTACGCACTGTACAGTTCATTTTTTCCACATCTCCACAACACTGTACAAAAGAACAATCTGTGCAACTGTGGGGTTTCAGCCAGAAACACTCTGCTTGCCAAATTTGGCGTTTCACTACTACATTCGAGGAAGTTGGGCTCATCGCCCGTGCGTTTCAGAAGGCCTGAGGCGCTGGGACCACGAAATGAACAACGGATTGCAATTCCTTCACTCTCGAGGAACGTTTTCGCAAATTACCTCTCTTTTGTTGCATCAGTGCTACCTCGGAAACCATGTTTAACCAGAGTCAGCATCGCCACGCCCAGTACACGCGTCAATCACTTAGGGCACCCATAGTTCTCGCAAAAGGCTAGCCCTGGAGGGAGAACTCGACGGAAGCGAGCCTTCGTCGTTTTTAAAGACTATTTTGTCACATCTCTTGTTGGGAGGGCCGGTCCTAAACTGTAGGCAGGGACTGCACGTGTTGGAAAATATCATCACGAATTGCTCCACCTCACATGAAACGAGCGACAATGCATGCTGTAATGGCTTCTTCTCGGTTCCTCTCATGTTCTGTCCAGCAAATGGTGGCTCCTCTGCACAAATCTTGTGGTCAATTTTGCGCTCTCTCTCACTCCAGGTGTTGCTCTAGTGGGTTTCCCGGGCAGCGCCGACGACAGTGGCTTCACAATCATTTGTCCTCTTCCGGCTGTTGACTGCAAGCAACACTATTCGCCCCGCTGGTTGACAATGCTCCTGGTTTGTTGGGTTGGGGGGACCAGCTGAATTGTGTGGGTTTTCCTGGAAACCTTTGGGATAATGCAAGCTAGGATAGGGGCCTGTCAATAGATACCCTGTATAATCTTAACGGGAAGACAAAGCATAAACTAACCAGGGGCTCTAGCCAGGAAAGGACTTAGAACCTAAACGTCAACCTAAAAGAACCAGGAAGCTAATTACATTGGAAACAACAACTTCAAATAACATCATTTCTTTGTAAACCATATGAGAAGTATGATTTTTTTTAAGATTAATGATTAGTATACACCGAGATGGACAAGTGCATACAATCAAAACGTAATCGTGCTTGAGGAAACAACAAGATACTGTTCCAGATGAGACACCTAGGGCCGGGTGGTGCTCGCCGTCCGCGTGGACCACAGTGCAGCAAAAGCGTCTGTCCACTTCCAGCTCTTGCCAGCAAGTTTGATTCTCCCCAACATATTATGCTCTTCTGCCAGGTTGCGTTGTTCCCGCGCCGCACTGCTCCAAATTTGCGGGTGAAGATGCGTGCATGCTGCCCGAACGCGAACTCAATTTTGTGAAGGACACGTTGCGTGCGGAACTTCTGCCCCCAGAACATCGCTTCATACCTCTCAACCCAAAGCTGGTTGAAGGTGATAGATGTGAGAGTAAGCTCTGAAAAAGCTGAGATGGACCCTATTTTCCAACCGAGGGTGGTTGTTGAACGATTGGATTGAGCATCCGTAGGGCCCGACGAAGGGCTGTCGAAACTGCCTGAATCCGAGGGCAGAGGAGGAGGCAGTGTTCCAATGTCTCCGGTTCTCCACAGTACGGGCTGGACGGCTTGCTGCTGAGAAAAGCGAGACGTTCTCCCACTTGCAGATTGAGGCTGTGGATGCGGACAAGTACGTCACGTGGACGGCTGGCACGAACTACTAAGAGTGATCGTAGCTTTGCTTGCGTTCCTTAGCACTTGCACATTCATGGGAGAAGCTGGCAAAGGATTCACTAGCAAAGTTGGAATTATAGAATGATTGAACAAGCAATGACAACAATGACTACATCAGGCACCTAACAACTCTGCAACTAGCTTGGTCGACCGCCAGCACAGCTTGGTTGACCGCCTGCCAGCGTTGCGTAGAGGTGCCGCGCCAGCACTGTAGAAAGGCGACCTGCCAACAGAGCAGGTCGACGGCGTGCCATTCATGCAGCAGAGCGGCTGT